CCGAGGGGCTGCCCTGGGAGAGCACCTGGCCACAGTGAGGCCATTCCCAGATGGGCACCAGCGGCCATAGAGTCTGCAGCGCAGTATCCACATCACCAAACCCATTTTGCTTTCATACCTGTTTTTCCTGAGAACGTGGATGGTCACCATGCTTATTTGAGCGATTAGTTACAGTCCTACATAACTTACTTAATTTTGTTCCTACACACCAGCACTATGTAATCAGAACATGAGGTACCTGAATATCTTCCCATAAGTGCATTTTTTAAGAGAGAGAGAGAATTTTAATATTTATTTCTTAGTTTTCGGCAAACACAACATCTTTGTTGGTTTGTGGTGCTGAGGATGGAACCCGGGCCGCACGCATGCCAGGCGAGGGTGCTACCGCTTGAGCCACATCCCCAGCCCCCATAACTGCATTTTAAAAATAAATGGAGGGGCTGGGGTTGTGGCTTAGTGGTAGAGTGCTTGCCTGGCACGCATGGCCTGAGATAGTAAGTTGGATCCCAGCACCAAATAAAAAGAAATACTAAATAAAGGTATTGTGTACATCTACAACTAAAAAACATATTTTAAAAACAAGAAATGGCACTTCAATAATAAATTTTATTGAAATAAGTTTATTAAAGCTTTACCTGGTCCTGTACAACAATAGAAATTAAAAGTTGTGCATTTGTGTTAAAAAATAAAATAAATAATAAAAATAAGTCGTCCAAATTAGAAAAAAATTTCTGTCCAACACAGAATCAGCGAATGAAATATAAAGGTATGAATGAGTTTGTTCCATTCTTTTTTGTTTTGTTTTGTTTTGTTTTTTGATACCCAGTATTGATCCTGTGGTGCTTACCAAACTGAGTCAGATCCCCAGTCCTTTTCTAAAAAAAAAAAAGTTATACACAATACCTTTATTATATTTATTTATTTATATGTGGTGCTGAGGATTGGATCCAGCGCCTTGCATGTGCTAGAGGAATGCTCTACTGCTGAGCCACAACTCCAACCCTCCCCAGTCCTTGTTTTTTTTTTTTATTTTTTAGTTGGACACAATATATTTTATTTATTTATTTTTGTGGTGCTGAGGATCCAACCCAGGGCGTTGTGCACCCGTGCTAGGCAAGCACTCTAAGGCTAAGCCACAACCCCAGCCCCTCCCCAGTCCCTTTTATGTTTTGAGACAGGATCTCACTAAGTTGCTTAGAGCCTGATAAGTTGCTAAGGCAGACTTTGAACTTGTGATCCTTCTGCCTCAAGGTTCAAAGCCTCTGGAATCACAGGAATATTCCATTATTTTTTCTTTCTTTTGCCTTTTGTGAATTTTACTTATTCATTCTTCTTCTTTGTCAGAATTTTTTATTTGTTCTACTGCTAGGCATGACAACAGAATGCATTCCACTTCACTGTACACAAATAGAGCACGACTTTTCAGTTCTCTGGTTGTATGCGACGTAGAGTCGTACCATTCGTGTGATCATGTATGGATCTAGGGTGATGATGTCCAGTCCATTCTTTTTCAAATGGACTCCAGGTAACGGTGTTGTTTCTCAATCTTATGTAAAATACCATAAGCAGACTCAAGTAGCACTGCCTTAGATCACAGGCTGCAGTGACGTCGTCTATCGTCATTATCGTCATTATCACAGGAGGTGGTGTTGGCTTACTGTGCCAGGTCCCTCACCCGAGGCTCCTGCTGACTCAGAGTTCCCTGGAGGTCCTGTTGCTCTGCCCCTGCCTCTTCCTGGAGCTGTCTGCTTGCTGGGCGGGTGCCAGCGCATCTGTGCGCTCCCATTTCCCTCAACCCCTCGCCCCTGGACATGCCTCTGCCTAGTGTGATAGCCAGCACTGCCTCCTGGAGCTGCTCCTGGCCCTCTTCACCTCTGCGTGGCCTCCCGCCCCCCACCGTGGCTGACTGTCTCCGTGCTGTCCTCGTTTTCTCTCCTGGAGCCACCAGGGATCCTCGGGCACCCTCTTTTCCTGCTCACTCAGACCTTCTTTCTCTGTCTTTCTACTGCCCGGTGCTGGCCTGGAGGGTCAGCTCTTGGGGCCACGAGGCCACTGCCTCCTGTCCCAGCGATAGAGCCTATGGGAACAGAGGGGCCTCACTGCCCTGGGCCCTGGGCCTCCGGTCCAGGGGGGTCACAGAGCCCAGGGTTCTCGCCCTGTGCGTGTCCGCGCTGGTGCTGGATCTGAACCAGCCCGGCCTCCTCTGCTCTTCGGTCCGCAGTCCCTCAGGCGGTGTCTGGCGTCCCTTTCCACCTGCAGGTCCCATCTTCTGTGCTCCTGGAGCGCTCTCTTCCCTCAGGAGTGTGGATGCCTGCTCTATTCTGGCAGCAGTGTCTCCTTGAGGATCTGGAGGACACAGTCCATGTGTGCGGCGTCCCCTTTCCCAGTCTCCACATCCCCAGCTCTCCTGGCCCCTCGGATGACGACGCTGCACCCGGGCGACCGCGCCTTCCTCCTGTCCTCGGTGCTGCCACGTGGGCCTGCAGCAGGCTCTCTCAGGTCTCTCCTGCCCTCTGCACTGGCTGCCCTCCAGTGGCTCAGGGACCTGCCTGGCTCTCGGGCACTGAGGCAGTGGTCGGTTCATTCATTCACATCTGTTTTCTGTTTTGCAGTCTTCACTTGGCCCACTGTGTGTTCCTCCCAGGAGCCCCTGAGCTGTGAGGAGGCCTCTTGGACCTGGCTCAGCCTCCTCTGCCTCTGCTCGGCAGCTGCTGGTGGCAGCTGCTGGTGGCGCTTCAGCAACGCAGCTCAGCGGAGGCCACGCCCCACCCAGCCAGGTCCAGGCTGCCGGCTCCGGTTCCTGGGTGACTCCTCCTCCACCCAGCAGGCCCTCCTTCCCTTTCTGCCCGGCTGAGTCGGGGACTTCTGCCTCTGGGGCCATCCCCCTCCTCGGCACCCCTGAAGCTAAGCCCACCCTGCCTGGCCCCTCCTCACTGCCCATTCTTTTCAGGGTCCCGGGTCTCCTTGTGCTTCTTATCTGTGTGAGGCGGCCCTAACAAGAGAGCGGCCGGTGGATGTGGACACCATGCAACTGCAACATCTCGTTTTGTTTTGAAGGTCACCTGTGGAAGACCCCAGCTCTGTTTCTCTTCGTTGGTGGGATTGTATCCCTGGAGTCACAGGCAGGACAGCCTGTGTGTCTGAGGACAGGCTGGACGAGAGACTGGGGGGCAGGTCTCTACAGGTGGGAACTGGCTTGGGGGCTGACTTTGAGAGCCACCAAAGGCCAGGGTTGATCTCCCTCCTTCCAGAGCCCCTTCCCCAGCCTCTCCCTCATCTTCTCGCTGGTCGTGCAGCACCTGCTCTGTGTCACAGTGGCCTCTCCTGGAGTGCACATACTCTGGCCCCCAGTGCTGTCCACCAGGCAGTCGGGATGATTCCCTGGATGGCCACTGCTCTTCACAGCCTTTGCCCCCGCAGGGAACATCTCTCAGTGTCGAGGACAGGGCCTGGCTGAGCTGGCTGGTCCTGCGTGCTCCTCCTCACCATCTGCTCCGGGTGCACCCCCCCCCCCAGGGACACAGGGATGAGCCCAGTCTCCTTCAGGGAGGCACCCAGAGTGGCCCAGTTGGGGCTTTGTCCATGGTGGTCCGTGGCGAAGTGGGTGCGGGAGGAAGAGCAAGCCTCTGCACACACTCACCCACGTGCCCTGATCCGTGAGCCAGCAGCTGGGGCGCCTGGGCACCCAGGCTAGGTGGGTGCTGTTGGGTGGGCACAGGGCCACCTGAGGGTCGGCTGGAGCACAACTGTGGCCCCTGGTAGGAGGACCCATCTGGGGCTGCTGATGTGAAAGGGCTGGTGGGCAGCAGCCGGAGGCTGGGGCGAGAGACTGGGGGTCAGGTCTCGGGGCCTCCCTCTCTGGAGCCCCACTCTGGCTCTCTGCTGCCTGCGCCTCTGCTGCTGTTTCCACCATGATACCCGCCTCACCTCGCTCTGGGGCCGCAGCCCGCCAACCCTGGACGGGACCTCTCCAACCAGGAGCCGAACAAACTTCTCTTCCTCTGAGTTATTCCTGTTGGGTATTTTGGTCACGTGAAGAAAAGCTGACCAACACAGTAGGATCCAAAAAGAAACCACCGTGGACGGGTCAGGCCAAACCAGCCCACGCGACCCCGTGGTGACCTGACCTAGGCGGAGCCCGGGAGCAGGAGGGTACCGGGTTTCATCACAGCCCCCAGGATGCCCACGTCCTGACCCCAGAACCTGAGGCCACACACCTCCCAGGGCAGAAGAGATTCTGAGGTGGGATCGTGGGAGGCCCTGAGCTGGCGTCAGCACAGGGTCCTCACGGGAGGAGGCAGGAGGGTGAGAGTCAGGGAGCCGGGAAGACGCTGCGCGCTGGCCCTGGAGCTAAAGGGCTGCGGCATCTTGGGAGCTGGAGGAGGGGGATGTAGACTCTCCTCGGGCCTCAGGAGGCAGCCTGCTACAGCTGGGTCTACTCAGCATGGTCCGAGTCGTTCCCGACCAGTACCTGCTGTCCTAAGGCCTGTCTGGGCCTCTTTCTGTGGCCGCAGGAGCTTTGGTCTGTCCACACTGCTACAGCAAACTGCCCTGGACCGAGCGGTGCCCAGAGAACGAAAGCCCGTGTCCCACCATCCTGGAGCTGGACGGGCCAGGCTGGGCCGCTGGGGGGCCTTCCTCTGGGTTGGCAGCAGGGCGGGGCGCTGTGGGCTTCAGCTCAGTTCACAGGTTCTGACCCCAGTGTCAGGAGCCCCTCCCCCAAGCCCCACCTCCCAACACCACCACCTGGGGGCCCAGTGTGCCGGAGCCGGGGCCTCCATGTCTGTAGGCCCATGGGTTAATGGGAGAGCTACCTGGGTCGGAGGTGCCACGGACCACAGATGGCTGGATGGCAGGTGGGGGCTGGGGAGCCTCGCAGGTGGAGGGGATGGAAGCCCACCCTCGGAGACTTGGCGGAAGTGACTTAGGAAATGAAAGGGCTGCACATGCAAAAATATGCATTATTATTGCTCCCTGGGCGCCGCAGCTCCCCCCCCAGGCCAAGAAGCTCAGCGCGCACACGGCGGCTTACTCTTGGTGTTTACTGGGAGCTGGGTCAGGCCTGGTGTCACACTTTCTTGGTGATGCTCTTTGGGGTGGCAAGCTCGTAGAGGCGTGGGGACGCCTGTGCCACCAGGGAGGCTGGGGAGATGCGGTAGGGGTCGTAGTCCTCATTGAAGTCCTTGCGCACCTTGGGCTGGGCCAGGAAGACCACCCGTGGGCTGGCCACCGCCTTCTTGGTGCCATCCAGCACCTCCCAGCGGGGATCACGATCAGGAAGGCATTTGTCTGACTGGGCCTTGGGCTCTAGAGGGTGGGAGAGAGGAACAGTCGGGCTCAGCCAGTTCCCACGTGGCGGCAGGACTCACAGCAAGGCCACGCGCACCTGGAGCGCGCAGCCACGAGAAGAGCAAGGTGACACACTGCAGTGTGGACGGACCTAAGGACCTCGTGCTCAGGGAGAGCCAGACACACAGGGCACGTATGGACTCCAGGACAGGAGGGTCCAGAGAAGGACGTGGACGTGGACCCACGCCTGCAGAGCTCAGGAGGGAAAGGGGACTGCTCATGAGGTCAGCCTTCCTTTGGGGTGATGGAATGTTCTGGAATTAAGTAGAGGTGATGATTCCATGACCCCAAGAGTGTACTAAATACCACCCTTTAAGAGGGTAAATTGTGAAGAGAAGAGGTTTCAACTGGCTACAGTTCCAGAAGTCCTTGGGGCCAGCCAGAGTCCACCCTCGGCTCTGCTCTGGTGTCACTGTGGGAAGGGGGTTCACAGAGGCATGTCTTCTCCCAGGAGGTCAGGGAGGCCTGGACCATTCCCGCGCCAGCTCCCTCCTCGCCATCTCCCCACCCCCCCACTGCAGCCTGTCGGGGAAGAGCGAGCCGGCAGGGAGGAAAAGCAGCCTCCAGGCCCTTGACTTCCATCTCTGGGAACTCTGGCCCCATACTGGGGGTCACAGGCCCCTTCCAAAGCCCCTCTTTGCTTGGTGTCTCAGTGCACATGGACGAGGCTCCCGGGCCGAGGAGACCTGGCTCCACGGGAGCCCTGGGGGAAAGCCAAGCGCCTTCCCTGGCAAGCGGGGCCCGGGTAGGGACACAGGCCCAGGGTCTGCAGCAAGTGTGCGGCGGGTGGCCAGGATTAGCCCTCCCAGAAGGCTCCGAGCAAGTGTGGAGCCACGTGTGCACCTGCGCTAGAGACACTCTGGCCCCTAGTAGCACACCCCTCTGCCAGCCGCCTCTCTCCCTCCCCTCCATGACAGTGCAGGCCTTGCAATTCCCAAGGGTGCTACCCTGCACCATCTCGGTCATTCCACCTTTCTAAATGCGGGTGGCAGTCCACGGGTAGAGCCGGTGGTAGAGACAAGCTTAGCACAAACATCCGATTCCATCCAGCACTGGGGAAGGCACAACGAACAGATCTCAAGTGGCAGCCCCTGGGTAACCTCGTGGTAGAGACCCACTTAGCACAAACGCCCCGATTTCATCCAGCACGGGGAAGGCACAACGAACAGGTCTCAGGTGGCAGCCCGTGGGTAACCTCGTGGTAGAGACGCACTTAGCTAAACGTCTGATTCCATCCAGCACAGGGAAGGTACAACAAACAGATCAAACAGGTCTCGGGTGGCAGCCCGTGGGTGGCCTCGTGGTAGAGACCCACTTAACACAAACGCCCGATTCCATCCAGCACGGGGAAGGCACAACGAACAGGTCTCAGGTGGCAGCCCGTGGGTAACCTCGTGGTAGAGACGCACTTAGCTAAACGTCTGATTCCATCCAGCACAGGGAAGGTACAACAAACAGATCAAACAGGTCTCGGGTGGCAGCCCGTGGGTGGCCTCGTGGTAGAGACCCACTTAACACAAACGCCCGATTCCATCCAGCACGGGGAAGGCACAACGAACAGGTCTCAGGTGGCAGCCCGTGGGTAACCTCGTGGTAGAGACGCACTTAGCTAAACGTCTGATTCCATCCAGCACAGGGAAGGTACAACAAACAGATCAAACAGGTCTCGGGTGGCAGCCCGTGGGTGGCCTCGTGGTAGAGACCCACTTAACACAAACGCCCGATTCCATCCAGCACGGGGAAGGCACAACGAACAGGTCTCAGGTGGCAGCCCGTGGGTAACCTTGTGGTAGAGACGCACTTAGCTAAACGTCTGATTCCATCCAGCACAGGGAAGGTACAACAAACAGATCAAACAGGTCTCGGGTGGCAGCCCGTGGGTGGCCTCGTGGTAGAGACCCACTTAACACAAACGCCCGATTCCATCCAGCACGGGGAAGGCACAACGAACAGGTCTCAGGTGGCAGCCCGTGGGTAACCTCGTGGTAGAGACGCACTTAGCTAAACGTCTGATTCCATCCAGCACAGGGAAGGTACAACAAACAGATCAAACAGGTCTCGGGTGGCAGCCCGTGGGTGGCCTCGTGGTAGAGACCCACTTAACACAAACGCCCGATTCCATCCAGCACGGGGAAGGCACAACGAACAGGTCTCAGGTGGCAGCCCGTGGGTAACCTTGTGGTAGAGACGCACTTAGCTAAACGTCTGATTCCATCCAGCACAGGGAAGGTACAACAAACAGATCAAACAGGTCTCGGGTGGCAGCCCGTGGGTGGCCTCGTGGTAGAGACCCACTTAACACAAACGCCCGATTCCATCCAGCACGGGGAAGGCACAACGAACAGGTCTCAGGTGGCAGCCCGTGGGTAACCTCGTGGTAGAGACGCACTTAGCTAAACGTCTGATTCCATCCAGCACAGGGAAGGTACAACAAACAGATCAAACAGGTTTCAGGTGGCAGCCCGTGAGTGGCCTCGTGGTAGAGACACGTTTAGCACAAACGCCCAATTCCATCCAGCACAGGAAGGCACAACGAACAGATCGAACAGGTCTCAGGCGGCAGCCCGTGGGTGGTCTCGTGGTAGAGACGCGTTTAGCGCAAACGCCCGATTCCATTCAGCACAGGAAGGCACAACGAACAGGTCTCAGGTGGCAGTCCCTGGGTGGCCTTGTGGTAGAGACACGTTTAGCACAGGAACATCCCTATTCCATCCAGCACGGGAAGGCACAACGAACAGATTGAACAGGTCTCGGGTGGCAGCCCGTGAGTGGCCTCCGTGGTAGAGACACGTTTAGCACAAACACCCGATTCCATCCAGCACGGGAAGGCACAACGAACAGATCGAACAGGTCGCGGGTGGCAGCCCATGGGTGGCCTCGTGGTAGAGACATGTTTAGCACAAACGCCCGATTCCATCCAGCACAGGAAGGCACAACGAACAGATCGAACAGGTCTCAGGTGGCAGCCCGTGGGTGGCCTCGTGGTAGAGACGCGCTTAGCGCAAACGCCCGATTCCATTCAGCACAGGAAGACACAACGAACAGGTCTCAGGTGGCAGTCCCTGGGTGGCCTTGTGGTAGAGACACGTTTAGCACAGGAACATCCCTATTCCATCCAGCACGGGAAGGCACAACGAACAGACTGAACAGGTCTCGGGTGGCAGCCCGTGAGTGGCCTCCGTGGTAGAGACACGTTTAGCACAAACACCCGATTCCATCCAGCACGGGAAGGCACAACGAACAGATCGAACAGGTCGCGGGTGGCAGCCCATGGGTGGCCTCGTGGTAGAGACACGTTTAGCACAAACGCCCGATTCCATCCAGCACAGGAAGGCACAACGAACAGATCGAACAGGTCGCGGGTGGCAGCCCGTGGGTGGCCTCGTGGTAGAGACGCGCTTAGCGCAAACGCCCGATTCCATTCAGCACAGGAAGGCACAACGAACAGGTCTCAGGTGGCAGTCCCTGGGTGGCCTTGTGGTAGAGACACGTTTAGCACAGGAACATCCCTATTCCATCCAGCACGGGGAAGGCACAACGAACAGGTCTCGGGTGGCAGCCCGTGGGTGGCCTCGTGGTAGAGACGCGCTTAGCGCAAACGCCCCTATTCCATCCAGCACGGGAAGGCACAACGAACAGGTCTCAGGTGGCAGTCCCTGGGTGGCCTTGTGGTAGAGACACGTTTAGCACAGGAACATCCCTATTCCATCCAGCACGGGGAAGGCACAACGAACAGATTGAACAGGTCGCGGGTGGCAGTCCGTGAGTGGCCTCCGTGGTACAAACGTGCTTAGCACAAACACCTGATTCCACCTCGTGGTAGAGACGCGCTTAGTATGCATGGCCGGGCTTTAATCCAGCCTGGGAAAGGCACAAGGAACGTCATGGTCGCAGCCCTTCCTGGGGAGTGCCTCCATTAGAGAGCCAGTTCCAGCCCCCCAGCAACGCACACATCCGCTCTCAATCGTGTTGGCACTTTTTTTTTTTAAATATTTATTTTTTAGTTCTCGGCGGACACAACATCTTTGTTGGTATGTGGTGCTGAGGATCGAACCCGGGCCGCACGCATGCCAGGCGAGTGCGCTACCGCCTGAGCCACATCCCAGCCCGTGTTGGCACTCCTGAAAGGCCGGTGAGCGTGCGCCGACAGGCACCCAGTCCTCATACCCACGGTGTGCGGGGGAGGGGCCCGCAATGAGGTGAGTGCTGCGCTCCCACCCTTGTCCTCCCTGGGCAGAGAGCGCCACCAGGCAGAGGACCCCACACACAAGAGCAGGCGCAGACAGTCTGAGGGGTCTCCTCAGTGTGCTCAGCAACGCATCCAGACCGTGCTACCTAAAAGCAGCTCTAAATCAAAAGCCAAACCAGGAATTGGACAAGTGATATTGAAGAGGGACCCGCTGGCCACCACACAGACCACTGGTGTGATGCAGAGCACGGTCAGCCGGGAGCCGCCTGGGAAACGGCGCAAGGAGCCGGAGCTTGCAGGTGGCACTGCCCCACCCCCAGCAGGGGCAAAGCAGGCAGAAGGCGGGAGCCCCAGGAGCTCGAGACCCGGCTGGCCCTAGAGGGGCCAGGGTGTCAGGGCACACGGTGGAGTCTGTGCCAGGTGTTCCAGGAGCGGAGGTTGAGTGGGGGGGCACTGGACAGCGGGCGGGCATTGGGCGGGGACTCTGGGCGGCGGCAGGCTTCCAGGAGAGCACAGTGACCCCCTCACATGTCCGCCTGCCTGCCGCCTGTGTCTGCCCTGCACTGGGTGCTAAGCGCGTCCCCATAGCCATGGCTGTGGCCACGAGCATTTTTCCTGGTGCTCTCCAGTCCTCTTGGGTTGCTGGGGAAGTGGGTGTTTAACTGGTCCTAATGCCCCCAGGTGACTCCAGAAAACCACCATTCCTAAAGGGGTGACGCCCTCCACTGTGACTGCATCCTCCACCGGGTCAGGGCTCCCCCTCTAGGGAGCCGAGCCGGCGGTGCAGATGCCCACAGCACTGCGCGTGGTCAGCAGTGCAAGAGCAGAGCGAGGAAGCCGGCCGGCCGCACTGACCTGCAACAACAGGCTTCCCGTCCAGACTGGTGTCCCCACCCACAGCCTCAGGTGTGGCCGAGCAGAGCCCCAGGGCACCGACTCACTGGCCAGCTGAAGGAGACGGCTGTAGTCTGGCACCTGGGGTTTAGGTTTTGGCACGGGGTCCCACTCTTCCAACATGGTGGCTGGGACCCTAGGTTTTGCCAGCCGGAGGGTCCGTGAGCTGGGGACGGCCATCTGGGCTGCCCTGGACACCTGGGACACCTGGAAATAGGAATAGGGAAGGAGCAAAACAGTCCATGACTGCTCACTGACCCTGAAGCAAAGGATCCCATAAACAACACTGAAAGAAACAAGAAATCAGTCTGCAAAAACTTGATGGCCATCATGTCTAAAGACCTCCTTCAAATCAGTAATAAAAACTTAACAGGGAATGGGGTAAGTGAGATAAAAGAGTGGCCCTAAATGGTCAACAGTCCCCTCTGCTGACTAGGGAAATGTACATTAAGCATCAAGATACCACTCCAGGTCCACACATTTGAGGAAACAACAGAAAAAGGCCTGAGGTTACTGAGCCCAAGCGAGAAGGCCGGCGAGTGCCGGAGTAAGTGCACAGCTCTAGAGAGTGCGCCATCACGCCCACCCTCAGAGAGCACAGCACTGGGCCCGGGACAGCAGAAGTGCTGGGGTCTGCAGGCCTGGGTACACACTCAAGGCAAGCCACCGTCCACTAGTAGGAGCAGGTCCACTAGCAGGGGCTGCACAGGTCAACACGGTGAATTCCTTCCATCGGATGTGGCCCAGCACTAGCACTGCTCTCCAGCGACCCCATGGTGCTGCTGGCACACGTGAAGTCCAGCACCCTGGGTGCCAGTTGTGCTCTATCTGTGGGTGTGGAACTGTGCCACGCTGGCCAAGCTGGGACAAGGTGGGACCTGGCAGGAGCTCACCTAGAAACCTGACAGATAATTCTAGCGTTTCCCAAAGAATTCGTGCTCAAACAAAGTTGGTTTTCCTCAACTCTGCCCTGGCTGCTCTGAGCCCCCCACCAGGGCCTGCAGCTCCCCGGCAGCTGGCTGCCACCTCTTCTCCCATGACACCCCTTCAACCCTGGATCCTCCGCAGCTGGCCAGGTTGGTACTGAGGGACTGCAGGGAGGGCTGGGGAGGGGCAGCTGGACCAACGGTGGACTGTAGAGGAAAGAGGAGTCAGGTGTGCCAAGGCCTGGGGGTTGGGTCCTAGGTCAGAGGGGAATGCCACAGGGAAGGAGAGGAGGGGCCAAGCTCAAAGTGCCCATCCCTGAATTCCAGGCTCAGAACTGGACCTTCTCTGGAGGTCTGGGCTGCCAAGGTTCTAGTGCTCAGGAGTAGTCAGGGGCTGGGCGAGGAAGGCAGGGCGGGGGCAACCCTCTCCAGGGATGGAGGGCAGGCAGAGGGCGGAGCAGGCAACCAGGGCCTGACCTCCTTTGGACCCAGATGCCACCCACCAAGGAGAGCTGCAGCGTGGGCAGGTGCTATGGAGGAGCTTCACCCAGGTAGGGTGGCTGCTGCTGGCCTATAACCAGCCCGGCTGTCCAGCCAGCCACGGCCAAGCAGTATGCAGCTCCACAGGAGGCTGGACGCTGCTGGCCCGGCAAGAGGACACCACCCTGGGCTGGCTGTAGCCGCTGTGGGTGCTCTGCACAGGTTGGGAGCCAGACACCCGGGACCCAGAAATCCCATCCCCAGGGATGGCAAAGCCTGCATTCCAGGAAGCCTGCTGTGGACAGTTGGAACTGGAATGGCTGAGGCCCTCCCTGGCCAGCAGGAGATAGAGGGTGGCTGCCCCAGGGGCCTCACCCCACCAACCAAGGAAGGGCTAGAGCTGCCCAAGCAGCAGGTGAAGCCCTACTTCCCTGCAGTCAGAGATCAGGGTCAGGGTCTGGAGCTCTCCAGGCCTGCTGGTCAGCAGGACGCACTCCCGCAGGGCCAGCAGGACGTGGGCACTTCCGCAGGGCAGCAGCTCAGCGCTACTGCTGAGCCACGCCCAGCCCTCCACCTCGCAGCTGCATGGCCCCGGGCTGAATGGGAAGCTTTGAGATGGCTCTGGGCCCACATGGGCAGGGAAGGACCGCCCAGAGCAAGCCCCAGCACAGAGAGGGAAACAGGCAGGACCTGCCAGCACAGCAGCAGGCCTCGGGCCGGGCAGCTCCCGCCCCACCCCGCCCCGCCCCAGGGCATGATCCGCCTACCTCAGACATCTGAATGCTCCAAATGTTGTTCCGGATCTTGGGGGTGGCCAGCTCCTTCAGGCGGTTAGAGCTTTGGAACTCCAGGGTGGCCCGAGGGATGGGCCACGTGGGCGTGGTCCTGGGGGAGCGGCAGTTAAGAGGCCAGCCCACCCAGGGGTGTACGTCCCTCCCTGTGAGCCTGTCTCTCAGCCCTGTTTCTGGGATGAGGGGAACCTGAGCCCCAAGAGGAGACTCTGGAGCCCAGGACAGGCCTCCCTTGGCCTCCAGCGGAGTTGGCCTCCCACTAGTCCCACGAGGTAGGGCAGCTCTTCCCAGGCACTCCCAGCTGCCCCAGGAGCCTGGGGAGGACGCGCACTCCAGGGACACAGCGTTTGTCTGTGGGTGCCCTGAGACACCGTGGGGGTGGTCAGAGCCGACCAGGCGAGCTCCCCAGGCCCGCACCTGAAAAGCCAGGTCCCAGCTCCGTCTTCCCAGGAATAAATCCCCGCTTCCCCGCTGGGCAGCCTCCCCTGGGCCTGTCTAAGGCTGGAACACGTCTGCCACCAAGTCCGTGGGCCAGGGCTCCCCAGTACAGCTCAGAACCCGCAGAGACAAAAGGCCCCTCTGCACGTGCAGCCTCCGGGCCGTCCACGTCTGCCTCCAGCGATGGACGGACGGGTGCGAGCTCAGGCGCACCCCAGCCTCGGAGGGCTTCCCTGTGTGCACAGCTTCAAGGGTCAAGGGGCGGCGGTGGTGGCCCGCGGAGCGCAGCCCTCCCCTCACCTGTTGTTGTTGTAACACTCCAGGTAGAACCTTCGTGGCCGCGCCAGCTCCTCCACCCGGCGGGACACCGCTAGAAAGGGAAGCCACCCAGTCACCAGGGCGATGTGGGCCCCACGTGACCACTGCCCTCTCCCCTGGGTGTCTGCAGGCCCGTCCCACGGTGGGGACTAGGCAGGACTGCAGTGAAGTGTGAGGCTGGGCCGCCTGTCAGAGGCCACTTCTGCTGCCCACAGCAGGGAGGACAATGGGCAGCACCAGGGAGTGTGGGACCCCACGCAGTTCTGACTGGAACTGGGGTCTGGCTGAGGTTAGTGCGAGCCCTAGGGGCTAGTCCCTGGAGGGCAAGTGGATGAGCCTGCAGCCCACTACTCCCTCCATGGCACTGGCCACACTCAGGGCAGAGGCCACATGGAAGGAGGACAGGAGTTCCTGCGCCAGTAAATACTGGCTGCCCGCACCCCTCGTCCCAAGATGGGTCTGGGGGCTCTGGAAGCCTGGGAATCGTCCTGGGGGGAGCCCAGGAGGAGCTGTGTCCCCAGCCCCAGGGACCCACAGCCCACACAAGAGGTCCACCTACCAGGAACAGTGATGGCCAGAGTGGTGTCCTTGAGAAAGCGCTCGGTCCAGTACACGGAGGGCCTGGAATACAGCCACAGTCAGGGGGGCAGCGGGGCCAGGCCTCCCTCCCGGGGAGCCCTGATGCAAGAGGAGAGGCCGTGGGACGAGGGGCCCCGCCAGGCAGAGTGGTCCTCTGGCGCCGGGCAGCGTTGGGGTAGGCAGCTGGAAAGGGGCACCGCCAGCCTGGCCACAGCCCCACAGGCGCCCTCACAGGGCACAGGTGCCACTCACCAGAAGAGGCAGAACTGCAGGTTGGTCTGGCGTGGGGACCTCCAGGCATAGCCCTCACAGCAGCACCCCCTCCTGCGACGAGAGGGTCCCAGCCCTGCCTGTGGCTCGGGGTTCACCTGTCTCCACACTCCTCACTCCTCTGGACATCACTGAGGGGGCCCCAGAGCCACCACCCTGTGAGGGCCTCCTGGGTGTCCTGGCCCCAGGCTGGAGCACACTGCCCTGAGGCGAAGGCCGGGTGGGCGGGCAGGGAAGAGGAGGCCAGGGCTGGGCTCCCCTCCATGCCAGGGGCCAGCTGGCTGCAGCCCTCACCTGTCCCTGGGTCCCTGCCAGTTGGTCTTGGGCTTGGCCAACTCCAGCAACCTCCGCTGCCGCCGCCTCTGGCCCCTGGCCATGGAGACGCTGGGGGTCTCCTCCGCGATAGTCAGCCGGCTGTGGGAGAGCCTGGGGTTGGCTGGCCGCCTGGGCTTCCAGCATCTCGAAAGCATCCATGTCTGGGAAGGTGGCCCTGGCTCTCAGCCCCAGCGCAGCCCCGGGAGATGGGGTGAGGCTGGCTGCTACCTCCTGCGCTGTCACAGCCTGGCCCACCTCACGTCTGAGGAGGACCTGCTGCATGCCAGCACCCAGAGGGGCACTGAGGCCCCAGAACAGCCCCTGCCTCCCAGAAAGCAGGAAAAGGGCAGGATCTGGACACAGGCTTCAGGGGAAGCAGCTCCCTCCACAGTGAGAGACTGTGCCGAGGACCCCCACCCCACAGAAGGCACACCCCACGGTGGCATCCTCCCTGCCCACCTCATCTCAGGAAGGTCCTCCTCGGAGTCCAGGGACACTCCAGGACCAGGGGCCCCCAGGAGCTCCTGGCCTGCCATCTCCTCGGGGGGAATGTCCTCTTCCAGGTCTTGGAAGCCCAGCTCAGCCTCCTGAGGGTCTTGGAGCAGGCCCCCAGGGGCACCACTGTCGGGCTCCAATCCCGCCCCAGCCGCAGAGCTGCGGTGGCCCCCGAGCGAACCTCGCCAGCGCTCCCCCATGAGCAGGCCCCCTCAACCTGGACCTGCAGCCTCCTGACCCGCTCCCTCAACACCCAGGGGTCCGCCTCACCATGGCAACGGGAGAATGTCCCAGCAGACCCCCGCTCAGCATTCCACCCAGCACTGGGCTCGGGCAGGTCGGGCAGGTGGGCCTCATGCAGGCCCCACTGGTGTGGGCTCAGAAGCCTGAAGTCCTCACTCTCCGGGGCCAGCTGAGAAACTGCCCCCCCTCTCAGCTCAGCTTCCTGCCTGTGAGAGACACCGGAAGGGCCACCTGGGGTCCCTGGCTCTTGTTGGGTGAGCCTGTCTGTAATTTCTGGAGCTCAGGCAGCTGTCCTGTGTCTGGGAGGGTGCTAGGCTGAGGCCTGAGAGCTGGGGGAACCTGGAGCCGGCTCTGGGTCTGGGCCTGCTAAACCCCTGAATTCTTAGTCATTGTAAACCGATTAAATTCAAGTCATTGTATCTGGGGTTTGTTCCTTAGCAGAAGGATCCTGGTGTTGCAGACGCTTCCAGCTCCAGATGCAGCACCCTGGAACTAAATCAACCTCTGTGATCCCCAGAGAGGCCACCAGCCCCTCCTGACTCCCAGGAAGCACAGTGGAGAGGACAGGTCCAGAGCAGCCACTGTGAGTTCTTGTGCACAGGTCACCCACCTAAGTCACCTCGCCAGTCAACCTCACACCACTGGAGGGCATAACGACAGGATCACAGAGGCTGGAGGGGTATGACCCTCTTAGCCCAGAGGGAGCGTTGGGGGCTGCTGCTCAGATAGCAAAGTCACAGCCAGCAATTGTGTCTGAATGTTGCTGGGAGTGATCCTGAACAGAGAAGTGGGGGGGTGTGGGCAGGGAAGGAGGGCTGTGGGGGAGGAAGCTGGCTTGGAGAACACCAACTGGCCCTGGGGCAGTTCTGGGGGTCAGAGGCCAACAGGGCTGGCTCCCAGGTGGGTGCCTGTGGCTGTGAGGCAGGCAGCTTCTGGGGGGTCCTTGGCAGCTCCCAGAGGCGCCTGGGTCTGCAAGCCTGTGTCATTCAGCCAGCACCCACCACACCCCTGAAGGCATGGGTGCAGGCATTCGGCCCACTCTGTGGTCCAGGGCGCTCTGACCACCTGCAGACAGAGGTCTACTGCTGAGTCAGCAGTGGGGGGGGGGGCATCTGCCTCCTACCGTCCTGCTCCAAGGGAACTCAGGACCCGCACACCAGCCAAGCTTCAAGCCTGCTGGAATCAAGGTGTCCGTCTGTCTGCCTTGGCCTAGGGAAGGCACGTGACCTGCAGGTCACGGATGGCCACTTGTAAATGGACACTCATCTGAGCACTTCCAGTTATCAAGGCACCGCAGTGTAAGGAAGAGCAAGCCACTGGTGGGAGACTGTTGGCACACACAGGCTGGTTCACACCCACAACGAAGAGATGACTCCATTAACCCGAAAGAAGAAGAAAACCACCGGGAAAAAGGCGAGAAGACACAGGGAGTTCGGCCTGACCCGGAAAACCCTAGGCCTCTCATAGACGTGAACCCTGGAGGCCCGGGCCGCGCAGGAGCCCTCCGCCGACCCCCGGCAGGACTCGCGCACGCCGCTGGGGCACCCGCTCAGCCCGCAGGAAGGGAGCCCGCAGGGCCCTCCGCACGTCAGGCAGCGCCGCCCACCGCCCCAGGCGCGTCCCCGCGCGGCGTGGGCGAGGCTTTCAGCCAGGGGGGCGGGCGCGGCCCCTCCTCCTGCCGGTGCGGGCTGCGCGCGGTGGGAGGGCGCAGGAGGTGGCGCCAGCTGCCTGGCGAGGCTGGAGGCCGGCTCTGTCCGACGTGGGCGGAGGGGTTCCTGTTCAGGAGTTAGAATGGGCGGATGACAGAATTGTGTGGCATGGAGTCCAGACCCTCTAGCCGAGGGAGGAGACAGGCCTTGGAGGCTCAGGGCCTCGACCTCCTGTATAACTGCCCCGATGTTGGGTGTCGGGTTAGCACCAGTCAGTACCTGGGGCGGGCCTGGGAACGCTTGCGGCGAGAGTAAACGGACAAAATTTTTTTTCTTTTTCGAATTTCTTTTTCTTTCTTCTTCTTCTTGTTACTGGGGAACTCAGGACCCGCACCCCCAGGGGTGCTCTACCACTGAGCCACCAGCCCTTTTAATATTTTTATTTTGAGACAAGACCTCCCTAAGTTGCTGAGGCAGGCCTTGAACTTTTTTTTTCTTTTTTAGAGAGAGAATTTTTTTAATATTTATTTTTTTATTTTTCAGTTCTCGGTGGACACAACATCTTTGTTGGTATGTGGTGCTGAGGATCAAGCCCGGGCCGCACGCATGCCAGGCGAGCGCGCTACCGCTTGAGTCACACCCCAGCCCCTTGAACTTTCGATTCCTGTGACATAAAACTCTTTTTTTTTTAGGGAGAGAGAATTTTTATATATATATATTTATTTTTCAGTTTTCGGTGGACACAACATCTTTATTTTATGTGGTGCGAGCGCGGTACCGCTTGAGCCACATCCCCAGCCCAGAAAACTCTTTTTTAAATGTGATAGTGAAGGAAATCAAGAGGGACAGCTAGCTACTCCCCTTCTGGGCAATCTTCAGGTGAAAATCAAAGCAGAGCGACCTTGGTTGTAAAGTAAAGGAGTGTGTCAAAGCGGATGCAGTGGTGTACACCTGTGATCCCAGCCACTGGGGAGGCTAAGGCAGGAGGAACGCAAGCTCTAGACCAGCCTCAGCAATTTAGCAAGACCCTAAACAATTTAGTGAGACTCTTTCTCAAAATTAAAAATTTTAAAAAGGTCAGGGATGTGGCTCGGTGGTGGAGCTCCGTGCGTGCAATCCCTGGCACACAAAACCTCTGAAGAGCTCCCCCTGTGCAGTAGGCATGCCACCTGTCCTGTAACTGCTCTGCTTGTGGGTTCTGACCCGCCTCCCCCCCACATCCCGCCCCCCACCTGCAGCCTTCAAGGCCCCTCTCTGTTGAGTCCTTCAGGTTCTTTGGGGTTGGTTGGTGTTCTGCAGGCTGCAGAGGAAAGGCTCACAGTCTTCTGAGCACCAACTCCAGGTTCATCTCAGAGCAGGGAGACAGGCCTACCAGCACACTGCTGACCCCAGTCCTAACTTAACAGGGACCAGTTCTGCCTGCTTGAGGGCCTGGTGGGAATATGGCCTCCCCTTTCCCCAGTGAGTTTTACTGCTGGGGATGCCATGCTGCCCTGAAGCCAAGTGGCCCATGGACAGCAGCAGACATGGCAGCCAGAGCCCCCTCCCAGCTAGAAGCCAGAAGCCTGGGAAAGAGGCATCTGCCACACCCAGTCCCAGAAGACGCTGGGAGGGACAGAGCCTGGCCTTGCCACAGGCAGACAGGATCCTGTACACAGGCCTGACCCGGGGCCCTGGCAACAGTGCCCTGCCCACACCAGATGCCTGGGGACCCCAGGGGGTCCACGTGGGCACACCTGCCTGTGCTGTACTCTTTGGGCAGCGGTGTCCTCCCACCCACTCAGAGAGTCCTCAGGACTCACTTCTCCTGGGGACCTTCCCTAGCACCCTTTGTGAAGAAGGGGTGAGGATGGTGCTCTTCATCCTATGACTTTGAGTACCACTATTTTCTTTGTTGGTTTTGGTTTTATGTTAGGGATTGAATCCAGGGGTACTTTACCATCAAGTTACACTTTTTTTTTTTTTTTTTTTTGGTACCCGATTGAACTCAGGGGCACTTAACCACGGAACTACATCCCCACCCCCACCTTCTTTTTTTTGTGATGCTGGGGATTGAACTGAGGGCCTTGTGCAGGTGAGGCAAGCACTCTACCAACTGAGTATATCCCCAGCCCCCCTCCCCTTTTTGTATTTTATTTAGAGACAAGGTTTCACTGAGTTGCTCAGGGCCTCACTAAGTTGCTGAGGCTGGCTTTGAACTCGAGATCCTCCTGCTTCAGCCTCCCCAGCCACTGGAATTACAGGTAGGCAGTCATTTTTTTTTTTTTTAAGTTTTGAGACAGGGTCTTGCTAAGTTGCTGAGGGTCTCGCTAAAGTGCCCAGGCTGACCTGGTTCTCCTTCCACAGCCTCTGCAGCGGCTGGCACCTCGGAAGCACCACCACCAACCCTCTGGTCCCCGAGTCCGAAGCTGCCTGGCTCTTAGGAGGAGTCAGGTGAGCGTGGCTGGCCGGCACACTTCTCCCGGTCCCGGGTCTTGGCGCTTCGGCCTCCTGGCGACCTAGAGGGCTGCGGGAAGCGGGAGGGACGCGGAGCTGCCGGGAGTTCCAAACGCACAGCCCAGTTCCTATGGAGATGCCAGGCTCCGGCGGCGGCCTACACCGCAGACTACGAGGTCCCTAAGTGAGGGGGCGGGAGCAGCGGGAGGGAGCGCGCTCGTCTGCGGCGCCGCTGTTAGTACACAGCAGGGATCCGCACCTCGAGCGGGGGCGGCGGGTCTCTCGGGCGCTGCAGGCTGAGCACGACCCATCTGCAGTGAGGCCGTGCGCCGTGACCCGCGGGGGAGGGCGGGGAGGGCTCTCGTCCAAGGCAGCAAAACGTCCTCCCCGGGGGTGGAAGGCGGCTTTGCCCCGAAAAGCACAGTCCCTCAGGGTCAGTTTCTCAAATGAGGCACTGACCAGGGTCGGGCGGGAGCTGAAGCCAGTGCGCAGCGCTCCCCGACGCGGGGTGGGAGCGCGGCTCGGCCGGAAGGGCGCCTGGGGCAGGGAGAGCCGGCGAGCTCAGACCCTCCCGGCGGGCAGCCCGAGGCGGCCGGCCCATCCCACCAGCCCCCCGGCCCAGCCCCCCACCCAGCCCCGGAGGAATGGGGCGCGGGGCCGCGGCCTTCCCCGCAGCAGCGATGGTCAGCTTCTTCCTCGGGGTGGCTTCTGTCTTGAGTTCCGTGGGTTTCCCTCGGCCACATCCTTGGAACCCCTGGGTCAAAACACGACCCTCCCCTCCCTTCCCCTCCCCTCCTTCCCTCTCCCTCTCCCCCTCCCCTCCTTCCCTCTCCCTCTCCCACCTCCCCTCCTCTACCTCTCCCTCTCCCCCT